TATTGAGACATTAGATTGTTATCGGCGAAAAAACTGTATAAGGTTGCACAAAAAAAACATTCCTTTGCACCTTTTTAATTGTAATGACATTGATAATGGTGATGATAACAGCAACATGGCAGCAACAATAGCAAAAACAATAATAATAATAATAGCACTATAATGACAGCAACATCTATAACGATAATTATGAAGAAAATGCTATCTATCACTAAGAGAAGAAATTTCTGGTCGCTGGTTTAATAGTTTTCTTTTTTCCTTCTCACCTATTCCCCCCTTCCATATTATTTGTTGCTACATAAGGATAGAAAGAAGGATAAAAGAATGATATTTGAAAAAATATTTACGACTTCAGAAAACTCACATTCGTATCAAATCAGTAGTAATAGGTACTCATTTCTTCTACAAGTGAAAATATGATTTGATATATAAACATCTCTAATACATATATTACTCTATTTTGCATAACATTAAAACCAGAACAAACACAAGGAAAAATACCCGCAGTTTCAGCTCTACCCTTTTGGCCAACGCAATCTACAACAGTCGGAGCAAGGCCTTAAGAATTACATGAAGAACATTTAGCGAACTGCCAGTCTCGCAACAGCTTGTTTAATTATTCTAGCTGACCGTTGTAAGTGAAACACCCGTTTTTTTTTGTTTTGTCAAAGTTCACAGATGTTCACATACACAAGGTAGCACGTCCTTTTAATGTCTGTCTGTCTGCCTGTCTGTCTGTTTGGTGTCTTGTGCCAATGTCTCTCTGCCTCTCTGTCTCTCTCTGTCCCTCTCTGTTTCTGTTTCTGTTTTTGTCTGTCTGTCTGTCTGTCTCTCTCTCTCTCTCTCTCTCTCTCTCTCTCTCTCTCTCTCTCTCTCTCTTTCTCTCTCTACATATATATATATATATATATGTGTGTGTGTGTGTGTGTGTGTGTGTGTGTGTGTGTGTGTGTGTGTACGTGTGGCATTTATTGTCTAAGATATATACACCCTACAACTACGAAAATACTATGATGATATTTCGGACTTTGAGATTCTGCTCTGCTAGCAAGACCAAATACATAGTTGTTGCTTCTCTAAACTCGCGCTTCTTAGTTAATGCAATGATCCTCATTACTTCGTAAATAAAGCATATATTTCTAAAAAAAAAAAAAAAAACAATAACAAAGGAATACATGATTAAGTATAGGTGAATTTTGTATCTCCATAGATTGCATGAATGTGCAGTGCCACCGAAATTAAAGTCATTGAACATTTTTGTTATGTATGTTAAACGATTCCACAATTATATATATATATATATATATATATATATATATATATATATATATATATATATATATACATATATACAGATAGATAGATAGATATACATACATACATACATACATACATACATACATATATATATATATATACATATATATATATATATATATATATATATATATATATATATATATATATATATATATATATATATATATATATATGAATATATATATATATATATAATATATATATATATATATATATATATATATATATATATATATATATATATATGTATATGAATATATATATATATATATATATAATATATATATATATATATATATATATATATATATATATATACATATATATATATATATATATATATATATATGTGTGTGTGTGTGTGTGTGTGTGTGTGTGTGTGTGTGTGTGTGTGTGTGTGTGTGTGTGTGTGTGTGTGTGTGTGTGTGTATGTTGTGTGTGTGTGTGTGTATTATATATATATATATATATATATATATATATATATATATATATATATATATATATATATATATATATGTGTATATATGTATATATATGTATATATATGTATATATATGTATATATATGTATATATATGTATATGTATATATATATATATATATATATATATATATATATATACATATATATATATATATATATATATATATATATATATATATATATATATGCGTGTGTGTGTGTGTGTATATGCATATGTATATACACACACACACATACAAGCTCACATACACACACACACGCACACATACACACATACACACACACACACACACACACACACACACACACACACACACACACACACACACATATATATATATATATATATATATATATATATATATATATATATATATATATATATATATATGCACTAAATGTGTGTACTAGACATAGGCAGAATCTCAATGTCTTCATGTAGTAACACAATTCCCTGGAAATCTATCAATATGCAAATAAGCATTGTTTACATTAAAGTCTAATAATACTCTCTGTACCTCATATGTATATGTATGAGACAATCAAATATCTGTAAATAATCTCCACTATACACCTTCCATGTGTTATGGTGACTATTTCAGGGGAAGGGAGTCCATAGCTTTCATCTGATTCTTTATAGGGATCCGTAACCACTGCCCTATAAATTTGAAAAAAAAAAATAGATTCTACACAATCCTCATACCTCTTACTAATCAAACTAATCCAACGAAATTACATAGCATAGACACATGTAAAGTTATATGATGAGCCATTTGTATATATTTAATGATAGTAGTATTCTGGCAAGGTTATTTCTATGTTTTTGAATTTACCGCTCTCCCACTGTGTGAGTTTTGGCAACGTGTCTTTTTCTTAACTCTTGGAAAAAAATAATTGAAATACAGTGAATTTCATAATTCTATCCCTTGTGAATGCGCTTAATGACACGACAGACTCAAATGTAAAGAAAAATATCACTTTAATTTAGCCCGGATACTGCATAGCTCATATTTCTACCGTAAACTGGACTAGTAACCTTTATCGATCAGTCTTGCTTCGTGTCGTTCCCATAAACACTTATTTAGGAGACTTTGCCTGAAAGTAGACGTATCAGACCCATAACCCTTGCGAGGACCTGTACGTAAAGTTGCATTGTTTAGCGGTATTGCTAGCAATAGCAATATAAATGAAACTGTTGCAATTATGAAATAAATAAATAATCTGTTTTCTATCTCTATATCAGATAATATTTACCTTAATGACGATCATAATTTCACATGTTCTTTTCGTCACCCCCTGGGTCATTTAGGACCATCTCAAAAGCCATTTATGGCCGTCCCGAAGGCTCCTCTTGGTCCGCGGAATTTTTTTATTACCCTTCTGCAGACTACATTTACCCCGTGTGTGTATGTGTGTGTGTGTGTGTGTGTGTGTGTGTGTGTGTGTGTGTGTGTGTGTGTGTGTGTGTGTGTGTGTGTGTGTGTGTGTGTGTGTGTTGCACATTGCTCGTTAAAATAACGTCTTATTTCATTTTCATCGCCTCCCAATTGGATTGAAGAAAAACCTCTTATAGAAGCCGAGGTTTTGAATCTCGGGCGTCGCGTTCGCGAGGTATTTCCCCTGGAAGACGCGTATCAAGTTGTCCAGATCCATCTCGTGCGCGTGGTTGGCAAGCACTTCACAAATGGCGATGATGAAGGGGCACCCGCGCACTTTGTCGCGGTAAGACAAGAAGGACTCTGTCGTGGAGTAGAGGCAGATCATATTCCTTGGCGGCTCCCGAACCGCGTCTGTCTCCATCGGCGCCGGAATGTTTATTCCCCGGCAGAAGTTGAAGAGGAAAATCTTCGGTTTGTTCCTCAGGTTCGGACACTGTTGGTCGAGGAAGAGATTTTGTACTTCGTTGACCGAGATGCTCTCCATGTCAGAGCTGTAGAAGGTGTGCGTGCCGATGCCGTGGCTCATGATGGCCACGAGAGCGCACCCAACGCTCTTCAGGCGCTCCTGATTCCTGAAGCGCGTCAGAGCGGCGATCGTCTGCCTCTTGGTAAGGTCGCAGTACACAAGCTCTTCGTAGCCCATCTGGGAGCACAGGTTCTTCAAGTTTGCTATGTCGGCGTGGGAACCTTCGCGGGTCATGTGAGGCTGGTGGTGGAATCTGTTGTAGTTGAGGATGAGGACGAGGCCCCGGGGCGTGGCTGTGGTGTCGTACACGTCGGGGCCTGGGGGCACGGGGGTCTGCACGGGCCGCACGTTCAGGGTCAGCAAGCCGTCCTGGGGGCAAGGCGGGAAGGTTGTCGTTACGACCGTCGTGGTTTTTCGGCAAAATGGATTTATTTCTAAATTAGTGTCATTAAAAGATCAGTGCCTGTGGCATATCTAGGCAACTTATTGAAATATATATGTGTGTGTGTGTGTGTGTTTGTGTGTGTGTGTACGTATGTGTGTGTGTATATACATATATATATATATATAGATAGATAGATAGATAGATAGATAGATAGATATATACACACACATATATATGCTTGTGTGTGTCCGTATGTATGTATGTATCCGGAAATGAATACACACCTATACAATTAACCTTCCCATGCACTAGTTCGTAAGTCTCACCTGATTCACTGGAGGCAGGACATTCAGTGGCATGTTCGCAGGAGGATTATCTAAGATGATTCTGCTGTCATAGGTCTGAAAAAGGGAACTGAATGCTAAAATATGTATTCGCTTGTATGTGAATGAATGTACGCATCTAAATTAATATATATATATATATATATATATATATATATATATATATATATATATATATATATATATATATATGTATATATATATATATTAAAATATTTTACACATTGTAAAATGATTATGTATACACCTTCAAAATCTTTCTATTTGTCTATTTATCTATCTATCTATCTATCTATCTATCTATCTATCTTTCTATCTGTCTATCTATCTATCTATCTGTGTCGGGGAGTATGTGTTGTGTGCAGCACTGCATTATTCCATCTTTCATAACCATATGTATGTATATCTATTTACTTATTTATTTATATCTATATACCGTATGCATATTTCTTTTAATATGACTTGGAATTCAAAGGCATTTTTCCATGTTTACGTAACATTAATTTCAAACATACAAGGATTTTATTCAATCCACAACCAAAAATGATAATTCACAAGCACAATCATTTCTTCTACATAGACAGCTAGTTTCGGTGGATTATTTGTCACTAGCTGTTACATGCACAAGAAATTCTGTCATAACGATACCAGTTATTAAAACCATTATACTATTACTATACTTCATCCCATTTTAGGGAAGGAAAAACTGGCAGCGCTCTCTAGAAGAAAAAAAACATGACGAAGTAGCTTAAAGAAATGAAAATATCGTATATGAGTTTTTAAAAATACCAAATATATGTAAGCATAAGTTTTGAGTATCATTATCAGAATTAGAAATAAATTTGGCAAGTTGGAGTACGCAGCGTATGAGTGAGTTGCAAGTTTTTCGTTTCCTGGTATTGGTTCGATTCCTGGTCAGAGAGGGTTGTTACTTAAAATTACAGGCATATCTATATCTAATCTATATCTATATATTCAGCTATTTAGTATAGAATGTATAAATGCGAATTCCGGAAGATTCTCTTTAGTCCTTTTTATAAGAAGGAAGGTGTTAGATTAACAGGAATATCACCTTAAAAACTGTTCATTAGCTTATCTTATCTAAGGCGGCATCCAACTTCTCCATCTAATCTAATGTTTTTTTATGTGACTCAAAAGTACGATGTTAATATTAGATATGGTATAGGGCATACAATGAATAAAGTATAATATAAGGAATAGTATTCTCACCTGAGTCACAGGAAGACTCATTTCTGGAGGCAGACCCATGGCCTGGAAAGATGAACGAAATTCAATGCTAAGTCTGCTTATCAAATTATTTAAAATATACTTGTAAGCAGTATCAAGTCATGAGCTATTGGTTGGTGGAAATCTTAAAACAAGTTTCCGATCAAGATTTAACTTAACCTCAAACTGTTGATGTCTTAATCAAGTCTCGCTAGAGCATTTGCGAGACCAAACACAGATCCTCTGCGAACCGCAACGATCTGGAACTTACCATGCTTAGATTCATGAGGAAATCAAGACTTCGAGTCCTTGCTCCCAGGAGAAGTCTTTCAATATCCATGTACCTGTAGTCCTCTGCCAGTATCCTTGCAGTAACCAAGTCCTCGTATCTGCACAGGTGGATGTGTTTCTCTACTATTATCCTCACCACCTGCAAAATCATGTTGCAGTTTTACTACCATCCCCAGAGTGTGTGGTTATCATTTAAAAAAAAATATGACCTTGTTACCACTTCACCAACGCAACTGGGATTTGTTGACAATGTGGCATAATCCTACATTTCCGCCGCAAGAGGTTATCAGCACCATTTTATTGGTCCTCTTTCGCCCTTGAAGCCGACTTTAGAAAAGGGTTTGACTGACTTATCTACTCGGAACTGTCAATATAATCGGAAGCAACAGATTAACTGGAATACTTCGTTAGAATCACATGAAAAACGACTTGTTTTTATCAACATATCTGGTTGGAACATATAATTCTACATAATACTTATTTGGAACTTTGTAATGCTATAAAACAGTGCTTTATGACTTCGATCCGTGGTTTTCAAACTTTTCCAGGCTGGCGCCATCTTGGCTTCTAGGAGGATTCCTAACGCACCCCCCCCCCTTTTTTATTTCGGTATGCTTCAAATTGAAAACAATTAGATTAAACACAGATATATACTTCACAATTAAACCAATTCATTTCGCAGTTTTGTTAAAGAACAAAAAGTTATTTAATTAACTGCTCCTATTGCAATCCTGTCGCCCCCTACCGCCCCCACCCCCGAGACCTTCCCACCGCCCTTTGGGGGCGGCAACGCCCACTTTGGGAATTACTGACTTAGATGGCGATGGGAGTGATAAGCAGAGTAAGCTAAAAGTGAAGACTACGGAGCAGTGTTATTGCTACTTCATTTTATTATCGTCATTTCACCTTTTCTAGATTTTCCTCCTATGTTTGCTTGGCAATGGATTATGCATAATTTGACATTCTTTACATATGAAACAATCATTGGAATAAAAGAAAAAAAAAATCTTAGAATAACCAAAAAACAACGAAGAATTTGTAGTTATACGAGTCTGATCATTTTACCTGAACATTATTTTCCCTCGTAGCCTTAAAGAGGACCCTGGTAATAGCTTCTTGGCTGAGGTTCTCGTGTTCCTCCAGCAGCGTGGTGACCACTTCCCACAGGCCTCCGTCCACGACTCTGTAGAGGGTGAAGTCGATGGTATGGGCGTCGTAGCGCACGTGGGGCCTGAGGAGGAGAGGGATGATGTTCCAGCGTTTCTCCCGGGCCGCCAGGGAGAGCGCGGTCAGGCCCTCCTTGTCCTTGATGGTCAGGTCCAACTGGCACTGCGGAGACCGTATTCTTCCTTTAGTTGAGGCACAGGACGCCATTCGGCAAAAGCGGGTGATAAAAGTACCAAGGTTTTCTATTAACTCTAAAGAAAAGACTCACGGAATGCTTGGTGGTGAGCAGGAGCCGAGCGCATTCATCGTGGCCCCATTTCACCGCGCCCATTAGTGGGGTCATTCCCCATCTGTTGGTTAGGTTCAGGTGCAGGTTCTGCATCTCCAGGAGGTCTTGCAGGATGAGCGAGTGACCTCCTGCGCAGACCATGAAGACAAAGGTGTAGCCCATGGCGTGCATGGCGTTGATGTCTCCGCCTTCGTCCAGCCATTTCTGGTACGTGGATTGCCCATGGTATATCCCCAGCAGGATATCCTGAATAGATCAAAAAGAGGTTTTGAACTGTTTCTTCTGCCTTAACTAATCAATAATGCTTGGTCGCACACACATACACACACACACACACATACACGTAGACACATACACACATACACATACACACACACACGTGTACACACACACACACACACTCACACACGTACACACACACACACATACACATAAAATGTGTATGTATCAACCAAAAGTGTGTCAACAACGGTCGAGAGGGTCATGTATAAATTATCATAATTTACTTTTAAGCATTTCGCAAGATTTTAATATTTGAAAGGTTCACAGCTCTTCCAAACCTTTAATGTGAGAAACAGAAACATACGATCCTGGATTTAACCCCCCCCACGATTTTTTAGGCCCAGAAAGAACCTTTCGTTAATAAGATACAGAAACAGATGCTTTATGACATAAGTCATTTTTGCGTTTCTGAATAACATGGATTGCATGTAAGCGGAACTCTTCTCAGACGAAAACGGTCTTGATCTCATTCTACGGAAGGTTTATAGCCTTTTTACTCATAAATAAAAAAAAAAGAAATTCGTGTAAACATGAGCTAATATTCTAAAATATGTCTATATACATTACAATAGCTTCATTTACATAACTATATATTTAAAATGATGTGCTACGTAAGAGAATGTTCGTGTGATTTCACAGTTTGTTTACATGGGCACTATGTTTTCTACCTTGGCAGTAGTGGTACTCTACCAATGCTAGGGTTAGACTCTTTCCATGCGGAAAGTTCGTGCCGTAACTAAAAAGGCCTGCATATGCCAATTTATATTTGAGGCCAGTTATTCTGATATCACAAGAGTAAAATCTAGATCCTGTCTCCCGTAAGATTCTTTCTATCTCTTTTCTTATCCAGCCAAGATCTCTAACCATCAAAGAAACCAAAGAACCCATTTATAGCTGGGGAGTTTATTTTTTTGATCGTGACAGAAATGATTAAAGCACCAAAATTGGTGGAGATGAACTTTAGAACATTTCAGAAGGGCTGTCAAAAAATTCGACCATTCGGTCTTGTGGTTTTATTTCAAAATATGTTTTTTTTTGGTAAAATCTCGTTTTTTAGATTTTTATTTTTAGATAATATATCGGTCACTGGAGAAAAAAAATAACACTTGGAAATTATACCTATGGATCCTATGGATTTTTTCAGGTATGTTAATTGAGCTAACTTTAACTCATTACCATGGTAACAGCCATTTTGGGGTGAAAATGTCTTTTTCGTTAGTAAGACTTAAAAAAAACGATACAGATATTTAAACAATTTTTGCATAATTCTTGTCTTAAAACCATCAGGAAACTTTCTAGTCATTATGAAGTGGCATAGATAGTTTCATAATATGGAAATTTGGGGGTAAAATGGCCGTTCTTGCACTTGAAATTGCACTTGAAATAGATTTTCTGCGGAAATGAATGTTTTGCTTAATTAAAAGCTATTGACTGGCATGGATTTACTTATGATGTCACTACTTTGAAGAATTGATGTTGATAATGTGTCCAAAACACTTTTAGTTCAGATTATTCAAATTTTGATGTTTCAGAATGCACTAGGAGCTGTATTTTTGTCATAGCCTACTGTGCTATCAAGGACGAGCGATAACTACTGCGCATCACTCATTAATACTTTTACATCTCTTCCAGGTTTAGATGAAAATGGACTGTGGCAAGTCTGGTAGTGACTTGAAATGTCCTGCAGACAGCAAATCTGGAAATGAGCTCCAAGTGTATAGAGACTTTGTTAGTAAAGTTGGTATTATTATTATCATTATTATTACCAATGACAAAAATTATAATAATTCCCATAATCTAATATAATTTGTCAAAAGGCGTTAGCTGAGGTCTAATTAATTTTTTCATAGAAAATGAACTACCAAGTAAACCGATGTTTTTGAATAAACGACATTGACGATGAATCCTTTATCTGTATTCTGATTTTGTGTGCAGGTCAGATTCATCCTTAGAGGCATAACTACATGCTTCTTGTGCCATGACCAAACCCACACATATATATTTTTTTTTTCATTACATAAACTTCATAGCTATATACATAATCCTGATTCCATAGTAAACCAGCCTCACTCCTTCCAAAAATGCAGGCTATTCTGTATTGCTATTCACTATCGTGAATAGCAATACAGATTACAGTGATGCATTACACGGGACCTGAATTATCCAATCAGAGCATGTGGTTGTGATCATATGTAATATAACGCAAAAACAAGATGTTCTTTTATTTCACTTGGCAAAAAAGTAACATACCGTTGACAGTTCTCCCATTTGCTGTGGTTGTGGGCAGGGACATGGGTTCAGCAT